CAACCCCACTTCTGTTCCGTCAGTCAGAAGTATTGAAGTGTTCATCTCCATGCTAGCAGCATGGTCGGACCAAGGTGAGGGGAGGAGGGGATGAACTATCCAACCATGCTGCTTAGTCTCTAATGCAGATTTGAATGGGACCAAGAGCAATGTGCACTGGGTCCCCTAGGGAAATGAATAAGCACTCTCAGCTTCAGGCAATACTGATTGTTTGTAATGGTCCTGAAGTACTCAAAAAGTAAAGAGCTGACATGTTATAGGGAACATCAAAAAATATTAATTGTGCCTAAGCAGTACCCTGGAAAATCCTTTGTATGGAATCCCTGTAGCACTCCCTGGTATGTGAGATTGCCTAGGTACTCCTGTGTCTGCAGCCTCGTACCTCTACATCTGCAGTGTGTAGCCAAAGGCACTGCTGCCTCTGACTGCTAGTTTCACCAGATTAAAAGTGAGATTTGGTACTGTTGCTACCATGCTTTCTTGGGACTCTGACATAAGGAGGGAAAGCCCTACCTCTACCAAGATGGCCACCTTCATACAGGGACACAGTACAGAACAAAGCATGATAAATAATGGGAAAAGATCAACTGTCAACTGAGATCACAGTCAATACTTTTGACTAGTCATTTGCCCTCTGCTAGCCTGTTTCTAGGCACAGTTTCCAGAGTTCAGTTTCTCTTTAACAGTTGGAAGTTCATTCTATATGTCTACAGGATAGGAGTCAGCACTGTTTACACACACACCACCAGATATCAATTTGTTTTTCATTCTAAAAAGGCTCTGAAAGCCTACATTTTCAGTTGTAAAACTTTATTATACTGTATAAACCAATTTTGTCTACAGGTCTTTGGTATCGAAGCTGCATTCTGCTGCTTTTGGAATAGAACAAATACAATACCAAACAGTATGTAAGCCTGCAAATGTACTATTCACTTTACAGCTAGCTACACTCCAGAGCCACTTCAAACAATACAGTCTGGGTTTCTTTCATAAAGAGACTTGTCTGTGGATTGTTACCACAAAAAAGTAAATATTTTTCGTGTAAAAATGTCAGACAAACATACATAATTATTGATTATTTACACATTATGTGCTGAGTTAATCAATAGTAAACACCATCATTTAGCTTCTATTTCATGCCTAATAATACATTAATCAGCTACATTAATTACATACTTTTCACATATATTAATTTTTTTTTATTCTATTTAACCACTTGCCCTCCAGAGGATTAACCCCCCTTCCTGACCAGGCCATTTTTTGCATTACGGCGCTGCGTTACGTTAACTGACAATTGCGCAGTCATGCAATGCTGCACCCAGATGAATTTTAAGTTATTTTTTCCCACAAATTGAGCTTTCTTTCGGTGGTATTCGATTGCCTGTGCATTTTTTATTTTTTCCGCGACAATTTTGCGAAAAGTTCCTTTATGATTAAGTCTAATTGACGAAACATGTCAAAGGGAAGTGACGTCAGACGCACAGCTGAACCGGAAGTGATCAAGCGGCCATTTTGGATCCTGGAAATCTCTATTTGAGACACAGGAGAGGATCTGCTGAGGATTTCCGGAGGTCTGGCTGGGCTGATTTCTTGTTTGATGGCAATTTTAAAGATGAAGATATATGTAAGCACATGAATAAAGTATATTCTGTTTAAGTTTTTATGGAATTACACTATTGTGGTTTCATTTATGGTGGGCATCGTTTGGAGACTGATGTGGAGAGGAGTATAATACTGTGGCTGTGAAGATCCCTCTACAGGAACTTATTATATACCAGTACCCTTCCTGGAGGATTACTAAGCTTGTGTTTATATATTTTTTTGGTAAGGGTATCTATTTTGCACACTCTAGAAGTGGACACGTTTTTCACAGTTTTTTATCACTAGATTGTTTCACAGGCATGTGTTTACACAGCTATTCACCTTACCATATAGTGATCACGAGTGTTTTTGTGTGAATCACATGCCTTATGGAATGAATAATTCAAGTTGTTAAGGATAATACACTATGTGCATTTTCCTTTCTTTTTTTTGAGGTTTTTTTGGTTTTCAGAAATTACTTTGGAGGCTGTCTTCACCTAGAGGTTGATTTTGAGATTTTGAATGACTTTGATATTTTGAAGGACTAATTTATTATTTTGGGACTTGTGTGTTTTTTATTTTTTGTTTTTGTTTTGAGCACTTATTATATCTGTATTTATACTTGGGATACTAAGCATATACACTTTTTGGGGTTTAAAGTGTTTATATGCGTTTTGGGGAAGTTTGTGAATAAGGGAAGGGTACACTGTATTTAATTGACACTGATAGGGATGGCTGTGCTTTGCACAGCCATCCCGAGCAGTGTGCCCGAGCTGACAGGGAGGAAGACTGTAAACAAAGCAGTCTTCCTCCCTGTCAGTGATTGTCCGTAATCAACGGGCGCCGACGGGTAATCACCAACTAGAAACTGGTGATTGACATCCGCGGACACAAACGGTGGTGCAGGTGGTGCAGGTAGCGCATGCGCATGTGGCACGCGCACGCCCATTACCCGGAAATGCAAAGTCACGTATATAGAGTGCTTATTAATTTCCCTAGGGGACCCAGTGCACATTGCTCTTGGTCCCATTCAAATCTTCATTAGAAACTTAGCCATGTAGTATATTTGCTATATGGCGGTGGGTAAGCGGTTGGTCTGTTTCCAAATATTTGCAATTACCAATGACCATAACACAGTATTTTTTGTCAATGCTTCAATCAAAAAAATACCGCATTGTGGCCACTAGATAGATCATAGGAAATCACTGTATCAGGAAAAATTAATCCAGAATGTGTTGGTTGAATGCTTGTCGCAATGCTGGTCACAATGCTTGTCGCATTTGTCTAACAGTTTTTTTATAATTAGACCCCCAACTGTCAGTAATCATACTTCTCACATAATTTTTTGCTGGGGGAGGAAAGTTTGTGACTGAATTACTTCCAGCTTGGGCAGTAAATCAGTCTTCACAGTGTCCCACAGCCTGTATATATAAAAAAGCAGTCTGAGTTGTTATAGTTATCCTGAAAAATGCCTTTATAACAGCACTCAACAGTATGCAATACCAAAACAAACAATATCCAAAACACCAAAAAAACCTTCAGTCCATAGTGATGTACACTATATTGGCAAAAGTATTGGGACACTCCTCCAAATCATTGGATTCAGGTGTTCCAATCACCTCCATGGCCACAGGTGTATAAAATCAAGCTAAACAATATGATAGTGTGACAAGAACACGCTATCTGAAAAAGAAGGTTTCTAAAGGATCCACGCGGAGTAGTATGAATTTCAAATGAATTTAACAATACTTTATTTGATCACATGGATCATGAGGAGGTTAAACATGAGCACGGTGTACATATGAAAAAAATAAAATCATGTTTAAAAACACTTAGCGTCTTCAATTGAGGGTCATCTTAGCCAACAGAGCACCATATAAGGCAGAGTGGTGTAATGATGGAGTAGTTATCCTGGATTTCCGTAGGTTTCATGCTTAGTATTGTATGAACCGTATATTCAGTGGATGTGTTCCCAGTATATATCAGGGACCTCCTGGAATGTACAGGCTGGAACACAAAAATACAAAGTATGTATCTAGCAATATGGAAACCAAATCACATCCACGAGGCGGGAAGGAACGGCGGTGTCACAGCTCCCTGCTAGGTAGGCCCAAGACCTTTTGAGAACTACCAGTGGGCTATTATCACAGCGGTTCGCAAACGGCAATCCCTCAGGGAAATATATCTTCTACCGGTGGCAAGTTATTCAAAAGCTTATGGCTGTTGAGATTTACAGAGCCTACATGGTGTTCACAGGGCATGTTGTATGGGCCTAATTTACCCTGTATATTCGGGGAATTTTTTGGAAATCCTCTTAGGAGGAGAATCTACATATATATATATATATATATATATACGCTATCCTATTCAGGTATTTTTTTGCTGTGACATAGCCACATCCTTATAAAAACCGCAAATAACCTTCTCAAATTGAGCAATTTTTGGAAACCCTTTACTGGGTATATTAAATTCAGGTATCTACGGCCTGCTATATGCTATATACACACTACATGTGTTTGAAATCCACGCATCGTGTATACCTGGTCCCTCACCCACATATGCATTTTTGGAAAAGCATCAAGGACCTGATCTAGTTCAAGTCGACAGGAGTCTTCTTGATCCTCATTGATGGTAATATATCCACATCTCTATGTGTGTTTTGTTTTCGGGGTTACCTGATGCCCATGTTCTACACATTTATTATCTTTTTCTATATATACCTCAGAATCATTTGGTACTGTGGACCTTGTTCCATTTGGGGTGGCTATCCAGGAAGTCCTTACATTTGAGAGGCGGGTATGATAGTCTCACCTTTGAGAAGGTAACAGTAGTATCCATTGAATATTGTGGAGGGAGGCCTGGTAATTTTTTGGATGTGATTTGGTTTCCATATTGCTAGATACATACTTTGTATTTTTGTGTTCCAGCCTGTACATTCCAGGAGGTCCCTGATATATACTGGGAACACATCCACTGAATATACGGTTCATACAATACTAAGCAGGAAACCTACGGAAATCCAGGATAACTACTCCATCATTACACCACTCTGCCTTATATGGTGCTCTGTTGGCTAAGATGACCCTCAATTGAAGACGCTAAGTGTTTTTAAACATGATTTTATTTTTTTCATATGTACACCGTGCTCATGTTTAACCTCCTCATGATCCATGTGATCAAAAAGTATTGTTAAATTCATTTGAATTCATACTACTCCGCGTGGATCCTTTAGAAACCTTCTTTTTCAGATAGGCGTGTTCTTGTCACACTATCATATTGTTTAGTATGCTGTCCCCTGGGTTTATGTATCCACACTTGTATAAGTGAGTCGGAGAGGTGCTTATGACATTAATTATTAGTGTCATTTTTGGTGGCTTGCTTTTGTTTTATTGTTGTGGTATAAAATCAAGCACCTAGGCATGCAGACTGCTTCTACAAACATTTGTGAAAGAATGGGTCATGCTCAGAAGCTTAGTGAAGTCAAGCGCGGTACTGTGATAGGTTGCCACCTGTGCAATAAGTCCATCTGTGAAATTTCCTTGCTACTAAATATTCCACGGTGGTATTATAACAAAGTGGAAGCAACGGGGAACAACAGCAACTCAGCCATGAAGTGGTAGTCCACGTAAAATGACCGAGCGGGGTCAGCACATGCTGAAGCGCACAGTGAGCATAAGTCGCCAACTGTCTGCAAAGTCAATAACTAAAGACCTCCAAACTTTGTGTGGCCTTCAGATTAGCACAACAGTGCATAGAGAGCTTCATGGAATGGGTTTCCATGGCCGAGCAGCTGCATCCAAGCCTTACATCACCAAATGCAATGTAAAGCATCGGATTCAGTGGTGTAAATCACCAGAAGCTCCGTCCAATGTGTTTAACCCCTCCCACTGGGCATCTTCATCTTTAGAAGTGCTCATCCTACTTCTGGTGCTGACCCCTGCAGACTCACAGATGCAGCACCTCTCCTGCTCTTGGTTGAATGATGTCTAAAACTATTCATCCCACATCCAGTGAGCCCAGGGTGTCAAAAGGCGGCCCTCTGCTTTGGACTCACATGAGAATGATGCACAGAGTGGCTGCAGATTCTACCATTACCGGACTGAACCAAGAGGGCCATGGTGAAGTCCTTTGACAGGATGTGAATTGGCCCTGTCATATACAAGCAGACAATTTGATATCCTAGTATAGGACCTGATCAATAGGGACATGTTGAGGTCTTTTCACAGGATGGGAATCAGCCTTGTCATATATGAACAGACACACTTATATCCCAGTACTGTACCTGACCAAAAGATAAATGGTGAGGTTGTTTCACTGAATGTGACTTAAAGTAGAATTCCAGGATAACACTATCTAATCTTAAAAATACTCCCTCCCCCTCCTAACACCTATTCTTACTAACCTGTGTACAAATTATGCATATACTTATCTATTTTCATGCTGCTTTGGTCCAGTCATGTGATCAAAATCCACTGTGGCAGCCAGCAGGGGAGAAGAGGGAGTGCCGACAATGGATATGATATAGTGTATCTATGGGGGACGTCATCCCTCAGGCATTAGCAGCGGTTGTCAAGCGCTCTCTCCTCTCCCCTGTAGCTGGCTGACCAATAAGAAAGTGGTGTGGTTCTTTCAAAGGTTAAGGATTAACCTTGTCTAATATGAGTAAACAAATTTCTATCTCAGTACTGGATCTGACAAATAAGAAAATTGTGAGGTCCATTCATAGCATGCAAATTAGCCTTATGATATATATTTAGATACATTTCTATCTTAGTTCCTAGCCTGACCAATAGGGATATGGTGGGGTACTTTCACAAAATGGAAATGAGATTTGTCATATTTGAGTAGATTATTGATTAATAACTAATGGGTCAATATAATCAGTAAGAGTCTGGGGAAGTAAACTTTTTTAGATATACTTACCTGCTGAAGGATAGAAGTGGCTTCTTTCATATATATCTGAAGCGCTGGACAACTTGGAATTAAATAGAGCACAGGACCTGGCCAATAGAAAAATAGTGAGCTCCTTTCATAGGATGAAAATTAGTCTTGTCATCTACAATGTGTACAATTAAACAAATTTCTAGGGGTATGGTGAGGCATTCAAATGGAAGATAGGAATGAGCCTTTGAGTAGATTATGTTATATTACAGTACAGGACACACCAATAGGAAAAGGATGAGGTCTTTTCATAGGATGAGAATTAACTTTGTCATATGAGTGGATGAATCGTATACCACATTACTGGACATGACCAACAGGGACATGGTGGCCTGTTCACGATTGTTTTTTCAGATGGTCTACACCGCCAGGAGACTTCTGAGAGTTCATATCATGAGTCAGGTCTTTCTTTCACAGCATTGTGTGAGGTGACTGAATAGCTCAGTGTGCAGGAATAAAGCATAAAATGGAATTTTTGTACTCACCATGATATTCTTGTCTCTGACAGCATTTAGAGAAACAGCCATTGTCAAAACTAGAGGGTTAAATTAGCCATCTTCAGAACGCACCATCTAATGGCCTTGCCCCACAACTGGCAGAGAGACTCAATTTGTAGCAATTTGGTAGCAGTGAAAAAAAAGCCAGAGAATGCCTGTGTAGCAAATGCACAAATTGGAGGATAGGATAATTGGGATGGTGGGATCTGTTAGTGTATAAAAAGAGAGCCAGATGGGAAGTACTAACCTTGAGAAATGTATTAATACACCAAAGACAAAGTCAATTATGACAACCGCGTCAGCAAGTGACGTCAGATGCTGACGTTGGAACCAGAAGTACCCGTTCCGCCATCTTGGTTACTGAAAAGAGTGAGTATATCTACCAGTGTGAGCATTTTGTGCTTAATAAATGTGTTTTAAGTGAATCTTCTGCTTTTTTTTAACTTTTGTATGTCCTGACTATAACTAACCTAACGGCTGATTGCGGGAGGTGTATTTAAGGAATGGCCAGACCTGCAGTCAGTGCCTTGGTGTATGTTTCCCATGAGCCCCTGTACCTGCATCCTGTCTGCTTCCTGCCTGATTCCTGATTCTGCTTGATCCTGACCCTGAATGAACTCCGCCTGTCCTGACCTCAGCTATTCCTGACCATTCTCCAGCCTGCTCCTTTGGTACCTTGTCTGCCTGATTGTTCCTGACCCGGCCCGCCTGACCACTCCACCTCACCAGCCCTGACTGTTCTTATCTGTGTACATTCCGTTATCAGTTGGAGGTTTGTTTTTGCTATATTGTGCGTTATATTTGTGTATAACCCTTAATAAATTATATTGTTACACCATACTTGAGCCTGCATTTCCTGTGTCAGTTCATGCATCTCTGGTCTTACCGGGAGATCTGACAGATACAAAAGAAGAGTTATCATAAGCAAGATTATCCAAACCTGTACCATAAGCGTTGTAAGGGGAAGGTGTGCTGTGCATGGGGGAAGGCACATGGTGGTGTGAATAAACTGAATCACAATTTTTGGCACTTATGGGAGCATGCTATAATGTGAACACACTTTTCGATAGTAGAGTATATATGTTAATGGATGTACTCCATTATTATGTTTTTTTCTTTTGGGAGACAGTGAGGAAGAATTTAAGACTGGGTTTGGTCCACCAGAGGGAGATCTTAATTGGAGTGATATGTACTATAGAATGGATGTTTGGTAAGGAGACAGGCAGAGGGGGGGTGAAGTCACAACTTATTTGTGATAATCATGCTTGGTATCATGCACACAAGTGAGCATAATATTGGGATTTTCAGTGGTATTATAGAAGGTATTACACTATGTGTTGTTCTGTTTTGTGGATACACATGTGAGGAGAAGAAGATGAAGAAGGAGGACACTAAAGTATTGCGGTGAGAAGGTTTATTGGATATACTGTAAATAGGGAAGATACAGAGGGGTAGAAGTGATAATGCTTTATTGGACCCATTTACTTGTGTGTGGGTCAACATAATCAGTACAGTAAGAGTCTGGGGAAGTGAACTTTTTTAGATATATGTACTTGCTGAAGGATAGAAGTGGCTTCTTTCATATATATCTGAAGCTGGACAACTTGGAATTAAGTAGATTGCAACCCACCAGAGGCATTGGTATATTGTTCTGGCTTGTAACACATGGTGTAGAGACACTTGTGTGCTGATAAACATTTGAACTGCTAGCTTAAAGGAATGTATGGGGAAATTAAGTCCAACATAGATCACAAAGCAACAAGTTATACTGGCAGATGTGTGCAATCATGAGACTGAAAAGAGAAGATTGTAAAGATTGTGATAAACGGTATACAGAGAGGTCAATGAGTATATATGAGGTTAACAGAGGTGTATGGGTTTATAGACCAAGAGGGTACATGTTAGATTCAGCTTGATGGAAATGCTTGTAGTGAGATGAAGACTGTAAATGGTGTAAAATAAACATTAGAAATTGGTAGAATAATTCTAGTGTTTCTTTTAACCCGTCCAGGTGTAGCTTTATTAAAGTGAAAACCCAAAATAACTCCTTTGCTTTTACCTTTCAAAATCTGTAATTTTAGGAATATGTTCTAAAGCAAGCAGTGATTTTAAAACTAATGTTACATTTTTTATGAGTGAGTGCAGAGTGCTTAAAGTACTTTTGTGTACTTGTACTTCTACCTACATATCGGAAACCACATGGGCATTAGAAAAGGTAGATTACATGTACTGACAAGGTTATTGTCACCTACTCTGATATAAAAGATTAGTTCCACTTTTACAGGATCTGTTCCTGCAAGGCTTGAATGGGGATTAGGGTATAAGGAACAGTGTCAAAGACTGATACTATCAGACAGCAACAGCTGACACAGTAGCGATCCCATGTGTACCAGTATTACAGAGGAACTTACCCGAATATTTAAATGTACAACAAAGCAACTATTATAAACAGCATTTTACTATATAACTGACATTAAGGCTGAGTTCACACTGATGTGGTGCGGTATATCGCATATGACTCGCACAGGAACAGCACTGCATTCCTGTGCAAATCACATGTGAATTGCGTGCAGTGCGATTTTAGCTTTTTGCATGGCTCAAATCGCACCGCATCCGCACCAAAAAGGTGCAGGACCCGTTTTTTTTGGTCCGCATTAGAATTGGATCGCATGGGTATGCACACCCATGCGATCTGATTCTGCACAGCACATCGCGTTTTGCGGACCAATTTCAGAGTGTTGTTAACTTCACATACACACCCGCAGCGGTTTGCATTAATGGGGTGCGATTGTGACGCAGTGCGGAATTTGCCGCGTTTTCTGTGTGAATTCCGCACCACATCAGTGTGAACCCAGGATTATTGATAATTTCAGGCTTTTTGTTCTTTACATACCTTATTTTTGCTTTACTCACCACTCTTCTCACTACAGCCATTTGCAGTAAGGGCAGATGATTCCATCTCCATATATTTCTTGGAATTCTTTAGACCACCCTGTGATACACAGGAACATCTTGCACATTCACACTTGCACACAGAAAACTTTTTTTCACATGTTACTATAGTAACTAGGAAGAAAATCTCACAATTAAAAAAAATATGCCTAAAGACTCCTAGGATATATAAAGCTGATATCAGAGGAGTCTGCCGACAGTGTATACTACATCATTTTTCAAACTACAGCTACATCAAACAAAAAAAAATATATCTAATTATATGGGGGAGGGGGGTTAACAATTAAGACTAGAGAATGTTAAAAAGCATGGTGAAGGTCAGCTTTAAGTACAAGGCAGTAATGAGGCACTAACTCAGAAGCACCCTCTGACCAGGGGTCCTGGGGTGGACAGGCCTTTGCCTATCTCACTGCAATGGCCAAAGTTCTACTCTGTATGAAGCAAGATAGGAAAATGGGAGTC